TTTAGTTATTTGAAACTGTTAGTCACATTTGAGGAAATGGATATAGAGTATAGATTGTGAGACAAAATCTGTGACCTCTGGGAAGATTCGGAATGTTGTATGATAGAAACATGTTAAAAATCCATTAAAAAGTTACAAATAGTAACAACATTTATATCATGGTTTCTCATCCTTACCCTATCGACATTATAAGCCATATGGGCAATTCTGGTTATGAGAGAATTCTGTTGCATTGTAGTCATTTAGCAGGATCTGTAGTAGATTTTTAAAGTTCATTTTTGAGAAGCACTCTTCTAGAATAGAACAATAACGTTTGTCATGTTTATGAAGGCATTTATCAGAGAGAATTCATTTGACCTTGGTCTTACATTATGAAGAGTAATCAAGGCTAGAAATACAGGTTGGATCACATTTTATGACCTTGATGTTTTTTGGAAGTAATGATTAAAGTATAGAAGAACAGTTAACATGGCATTTCCAGCAGGACAAAACAAGATTCAACTCCTAGATTTAAACCTTAGCAGTTATGGAACCTTAGACAGTTAAACTAATACTTTTCTTTTTGGTCATGATTGAATGTGCATTGAATGGGACACTGAAATTATTGTGTGGAAAAATGATGACATCAAAAACTTCAAGGTAAAAAATATATGTGGGAACAAAATCTCATTGTAATAAAACAAGCATGACTATAGAAATACAGGAAATTGGTGAACACCAACCATTTCTTACTTGGTAGACTGGGTTAGTCTACGTCAAGCATAGAGTCTCAACTTCTGTTAGATTATCCTATTCTTTATAAGGAAATAAACATGCATAAATGATTTAACCTTTATATTGTAATATACTCATAGTCATTAATAAACTCTTAATTATCACAAATGTTTAGAATTTAAAACCAATATATGCATATATGTGTATACATGTCCATAAGGAGGAATCATAAACAAATGTCAATATTGATCTGGGTCAGAGTTGCAAGTTGCTGCTAAAGCAACTGTTTAATATGAAATAATAAGTCTGTACTTATCTCAGTGAACCAGGTATGACCATTTTCAGTGTCAAGATTCTGTATGTGCAAGTGAGATCTCAGCTCTGAGGTCTTCGGACAGAGAAACTTTATTTAGACATTTGCCTCAGGGTGTGGACTTGACCATGCCTTTTAGAGGAAGGGTAAGACTGGAGTTGGAATATGAGTACAGTATATAAATATAGGCTGATTATAGAGATCTAGCTTTGAACATTTTTCCTATAAACTTTAGTTAGCCACTCAGATCATTTTGTTACCACTGCCTTGATTTGGGTAATTGTAGAGATTAAAACCCATGGTTTCCAGGATTGAAACTTCTGCTTCTGCAATTTCAGTGTATTCAAGTCTTGAAATAAATGGTCATTTTAGAGCTAAATTAAGGCAAATTTATATAAGGCTTAAAAATGATGGCAGCCACTTCCCATAGAACAGCATCTCTTCTAAGCAGTGAATGTTTTATTCTAGTGAGGGAAGATTTTGTGACACAATCAGTTACATGCGAGCCTCTTTTCAAGGCTCACTACTCTATGACACTGCCGATTCAAGTGTTACATTAATGCCAAACCATACGATCCCAGCATGTGATTCCTTCTGATGGGTTGCAGCTCCAGCTATGGCTACTTAACCATCTCTGGGAGAGGCCTGCCTGAGGAAAAAGGTGATAAATGTCACACTGGGAGATTAATTGCATATGTTCCCTGTGACATGACATCCCATAGGACTTAGGAATATGTTTGTGGTTTTATAAAGCATACTGTAAATATCAGATTCAGCTTTGGCTGTGACCCTGCCAAACACAGGGCTGATGTCATTTGTCATATTCAGACATTGCCTTTTAAAAAACATCCTTGTACAAGCTGATGCCAAGGTGTGATGTGTTTGATAGCTCTGAGGAAATTGTTCTCCTTATAGTAGGGGAGTGATAGGGAGGACAAGGAAGGCAAGGTATTAAACCCTGGGATAGGGCACAAACATGTCACTCAGGGGAATGAGTAAATAATGTTCTTGCTTTTTGATTAATGAAAGTTAGAAGACACATTTTCTTATGCCTTCCAAAACTCTTCTACTGGTGAATTTTTAATGGGAAATCTATCACAGAAGACAACCAGAACTTTCCAGGGAAGAGGTTAATGCTTACAGTGCTTAACTATAATGAGATATTTTTGGAGTTCCTACTGGGTGAGTGATTGGACATAGTGAGGAGCACCCACCACTGCCAAGTTATTGACATGGCCAACAATTCTGTAGAATCTTCCATTGAGCTTCAGATTTGAGCTAAAATTCTGTATTTGTGTTACTTATGCATCTTATGTCTGTTCCTCCCATGATCTGTTTTGCTTTAAATCCCGACACCCCTCACAGCAAACCAAAACAATTAGCTTTTTATTTAGACCTGTGAATATCTCACATGTCTCAGACTGAATGGAACATATTTTCACTGTCAGCAGACAGATGTTCAGAGCATGAAGCCTCACCTGAAAGAGATAGGTTGCATCAACATCCATCTGTCCTCTAAAATGACCAGCCGCCGACAACCACCCATTAAATAATTTACTTCATTTTGGAAAATACTTTTTTCCACCTGATACCTAGAAGGCTTAATTCTATTATTGCCTTTAATTTGTGTTTCTTCTCTGACTTAATACAATGTGCAGCATCTCTAGGCTGAAAGTTCAAATTCCTGGTGCCTGCAAGAAATATATGATGTGAAACCAAAGTGCCTTGGAGAAGAATACTTAATCTTTGTCACTTAAGTTCCAGTGAGTGTAACATGACTGAACATTGAGATGCAGACCATGTATATGAATAAATTATGCAACTGCTATAAAACTGTGGGGCAAAATGCATCTCTCACTTGGAGGAAATGAGAGAGATACTCCCAGCAGAGACAAATATGGATGCCCACGATTCAGGAACACAGATTCTGGTGGCCACAGATAACATTTCCTATTGTGGGAATTAATCAATTGACTTTTTACTAACAGAATAAATAAAAAAGTCACAAACCTACATATTTACTAAGCAAATTTCTGAGAATAACAGCATTCAGAAATCTTTTCTATAAGTTTTCCATGTTGTCTGCTGATCATATTGGCTTTAGGGGTTGTGTGAGATACTTGTCTGCTAAGTAAATAAATTCCAAAGGACTTACATTGTTTTCAAAAGGATGTTAGAACAGCTAAAGAGGTGAGTGTTAAATATCATTTTAATTGGCTAAAGGTAGCCACAGGAAATTTGGGGTATTAAATCTGTAACATTCTAACAATCACACAAGTAACAATCATACAAGTAACACAAGCAACAATCACACAAGTCCAGTATGTCAGCTTATCAGTCTTCAACATTGCTATGGCCTTTCTTTGGGAACTCCAGTTTAGAACAAGCTTCTTGAGGTCAAGGAGACAAAGATTATAGAATTTGCTTATCTTGTCTTCCTCCTTTCTCAATTATACATTTCTTTCTCCAGCCCCATATACCTCCTGTCTCTTTAATTATACCCTCAGATTATCACATCCTGCCCCAGATATTGGTTTAAAATACATGATCAGGGGGAGAATTGTACTTTCATTAGAAAGGAGAGACCCACTTCTAAACCTTAACTGCACTATGATCAACATGTTTGCGACTTTGTGATTGCCTTTACCTTGATTAAACAGTAGTTTTCCTTTCTATTAATTTGTATACTGAGTTAGACATTTTCAAAAATTCTGTCTTGGTTATTTGCTGCATATCAGGTATTAGGCTGAGAAAAAGGGCTCATAAAGTTCTTACAAATAATTACAAGATTATGTAGTAAATGTTATGAAGGGAATATTTCCAGGTGCCAGGAGACAGAATTAGGAGAAATTGCTTTCCAGCCGGGGAAAGGGATCGGAGAATGCACTAAGGAATAGTTATATTCATGATAAAACATTATTGGTTATTAGTTGAGCAGATGCATCTCAGCCAGAGATGTGTACAGATACATTCAAACATGAAAGAGCCTTGGACTATGATATTGAATGAAGAAGTAATTTAATTTGATAAAACTTGAACAGAACAGCAGAGTTGGGTAACTGGAGAAGGCATCAGATACTCTTGTTAAAATTAACTTATTAAATTTTTTTGGTTTTTCAATACAGAGTTTCTCTGTGTAGCTTTGGAGCCTATCCTGGCACTCACTCTGGAGACCAGGCTGGCCTTGAACTCACAGAGATCCGCCTGCCTCTGCCTCCTGAGTGCTGGCATTAAAGGTATGCACCACCAATGTCGGCTTTAGCTTATTAAATTTTAACATCAGCAGAATCAGTGTCATTTTTATTCCAAAGAGGAAAAAATTTGAAGTATGGGGATTTCGGTAGAGAATTGTGTCATCCCATGCAAAACAAAACAAAACAAAAACATGGAAATC